TTTTATAGCATTCCGTGCATATTATGTAGCCTGAACTAGAACTCAATAATGCTTTCCTATGATAAAGGGAAAAATGGGCTTTAAATTATAACTCATTATAAAGCTGTAAATAAGGTAAGATAATTTGCAAGGAACGTAACAGGTAGATGATAGTATCAGGTGCGCTCACATGCCAAAATATTTCATGATAATAAGATTAACTGAGACATTCAAATATGAGAAAAACTAGTACTATAGTAAATTTCTAACAACCTCAAATGAAGTTTGTAGAGAAAGTTACTTATAGGTATCTCATTTCAAATAAAGCTATCTTTTAAATAATAGGAAAGTACTATTATTTTCTATGGGAACTACTTTGTGTGCCTAATACTTAGAAGAATGAAGGAAAATTCAACATTAATACAGAAACTATGCTACATCTTGCCAGCCAAAACAGTTTAAATAACACAATTGTGTTCATGTTTAAGGATATAATTATGCATCAATAGAAATTTGATATTACTTAAAAACATTTAAAGAAGCACCAGGTTTGAGTGGTGTGAAATAAAGTTATAGCTAGCTGTATGTTCTATGTCTCATTCTATTATAATTTTCTCTTTTAGGGTTATATTATTATATTAAAGCTTATAAAATCTGTAGTCAGCAGAGGCAAGCCGCTTCAAATCATTTTAGTTAATTGGCAGCTATGGTGGGGACATGAAGCATCACTCTTTCCCTGTAGTTTCATTTTAAACAAATCATGCTCACATATAAAAATAGCAAATTGCATTAAATTTTATGTAAGACATTTTATAGCTTCTTATATAGGAACAGCTATAAGTGGCTTCATGTCCTATACCAGAGCAAACAGCTTTGAATAAGCAATAAGCTCTCCGGCAAGACATCATTCAAAGAGATACAAGATACAGCCCTATATCCACCTAATGCTTAAAATAGACCACAAGAACTTGCAGGCTTACACACAAAAAATAAGCAGGAAAAAAAAAAAAAGAATGATTGAGATATTCTTTGTTGCCTGTAGGTTGAAAAGTGTTGGGATGTTTCTGCCAGCTCTGTTTAAGGTTTGCACAAAGTCTTCATTCTAAAACTCTGGTTATCTACTGACTATTCATAGTTTCCAAAAGGAAATAAGGATAACAGCACCCAGAGTCCCTGAGACATGACTGCTAAACTTTGTCACCATTTTTATTCAATAGTTGATTATTTACTTTAGATATTATCAATATTAGGCTCTAATTTAGGTACAAAGATGTTTTGCCTATTTTGTCATAAAGTTTCCTATAAATTAAAAAAAATCTGTTATAAACATGGTAGTCATATTTTTAACAGATACATTTCTGGGTCTTGACACAAAAATACCTAATGACAGGCATCACAGCTTTGTTCCTGAAATTATATTAGTAGAAAAAGTTTTTAAAAGTCTCATCCATCTCTCTATATAACAAATTCTAAAGAAAATAGTCCTTCAGTTGGGTAAATTTTGTCTCAGTATGTATGTATATCCTATGTTCTGCCACAAAATAACAGATAAAAGAACAAACCAACATGACAGACCTGTTTCAGAAAGTTCCACTGGGAGGAACTGAAACCCTAGAGAAACTGAAGAATGCTTTTCTTTACATGGAAGTAATTGTGTCACAAAGATGAAAATGTTTTTTTTTTTCTTTTTGGAAAAGAACAAATGTACCACAATAATGACCATCATGCCTTTAGAAAAGAACATGCTATCTAAATTCTTATATTTTCACATCATTTAACATTTCAACTCAGTATTCAAAGAATGATTAAAATCACGGTGTTATTACCACTATTCAAATTCACACAGAATAAAATCCAAGTCATTGCTCAAAATAAACTAGTTTTTATCTTTTTCCTTTGAGAGGGAAAAGTTCACTAAGCAGTTAATATAATTGGCAAAAATATTTTTTTCTTCTCTAGTTGTGAAAAATTATCAAGCCCAGGATAGCACCAATAAGCAACAACTTATTAGCATAGGTGATATTTCTTTATTATTTTCCATATTCTTACATAGGTATCCATGGATTCAGAGGGAGAAATACAGATTGCAAGTTACTTATGGCCTGTTTGGTGACTTGATGAAATTATATAGGACACAAAGTCCCAAAATAAAACAACTGTTTTAATGGAATTTAACTGGTTAACAATGGCTGTGCAAAATATAAAAAATAAAATGCTAAATAAGGAAGGAGATGAGAAAAAAAAATATTTTTTGAGCTCAGCAAAACTGTAACGGAAGAATACTTGCTCACCATACTACCATAAGCATACTACAAACATCTTTACAATGAAATGAACTATTTTAATAGCCTCAAAGTCTTCATTGATAAACTTTGATGATACACTGACTACTTTGTTCATATTTTCCAAAACAAGTTTGACAGCAGTGGCTGGAGTCACTTAAAGATCATGACTTAATTATGTACCTCCCTTTCACCTTAATTAATTTCATCTATTGTTTCAAATGATACTCTTCACACAGTAGGCATTTAACAAACATCTATAAATGGTGGTACATAATCAAAGAAATTAATCTATGGATAAATTTGACAATATGTTGATATAAAATATAGAATCAGACTATTTTGATTTATTAGAGACATACTCTTTAACAGCTGTGCAGTTGCATTGAGATGCATGCCTTCCATGTAAAGTAGCTCATCTGTGGTGTCTTCTGTAATGCCTTAACAGTGTTTTATGTATGTATTAATTCTCCATTCCACTTCCACACTTTTTAAGGGTTGATGAAATTGCCAAATAAGTCACATTATACACAGCAAACCTTCAGCTAAAGTAAGAGGTAAGGTTGCTATTACAACTTATTTTGAAATGGTTCACAACCCTTAGGCTGTTAACAGAACAACAGGCCGTTAATGTGGTAAGGATCAATTTAAGAGGAAATTGTACTTGGAGAAATAAGTATATTGGGAATCAGGACCAGGGTTTATATTTGAAAAAGTATGATACATTCATAACAAGTTCACTGACATTAAATTTGGAGCCTATCAGAAATTATGTAAAAGTTCTATCACAAAGTAACATACATTTTTTAAAGAGAAAAATGAAGAATTCATATATGGAAACTATTTTGATAAATTTCCTCAGACAAAACATATAGTTAACATGATCAAACACCACTTTAACAGTATACTTGTTCTATCATAAGGGACACTAAAACAAAACAATCTGAGGTTACTTTCTCTGCTGGCTACTATACTGGGAACTGCAAAACTATTCTGTTCAAAATACAGATATTTCACTAGTAAACTTACATTTTTTATTTAGAAAAATCCAGAGAGTTCAAGCAACATTCTTCACAATTTCCTTAATGTTTGTCTTTTGTGCTTATTAAAATACCTTATTCTAGTTGAAACTGTGTAAACTTCTGGTTTGGAACTACAACCTAAATCTACTTGAAATACTAAAATTGTGGGTAAATGAGAAGCAGTCTAAATGCTGTGATTATTAGTTATAAAGGTGAAGCAGACATGGAAAGCAACATCAGATCACAAAAAGCAAATGCTGATGCTTTATCTGAACATGAGTCTCACTCACGATGAGCACAGGAGACATTTTTATTTCAAAGAAGTAAAGTTCAAAGACTGCAGAGTTCTGAAAGAATTCATGTTATAAGTTAACTCTGATTAGTTTTGCCACCATAATGAGGGAAATCCTGGCTCCTGAGGGTCACTTTCAATTGTTGGCAACTTGCATGCTTCTGGAAGCCCAGGGAAGTGGTAACAAGTGGTCATAATTAGCCAGGAGGCCATAAGAAGAAGCTGTGTACCAGGGGGAGCATAGACTCTGAAAAACCACACTGGATTTGCCCCTATGCAACTACCATTAATTCAAAGGATAT